CAATGCTCGAGTCCGCGCTGCGGGACCGCTGTTTGCCTTTGGGATTTTGCACTCGCAGTCTACGCTCGTTGCACAGAACACGGCGCCTACAGACAGCTCCGTTTCCTGCAGCTCTGCCTTTTGTCCTCCCTGCGCTGAAGCATCTGTTAGGTCACCAGTTTTCTCCCTCCCCTTCTCACCCTCCCCTGCAGTCTCGCACCCTGCCAGCCTGCGCTCCTTCTGATTCATGGATTGTAAAAGCCTGATGGGAACAATTTAATCGTGTAGTTTGGCTCCTCGGGAGCTGACTCCTCTCGTTCCTGTGCCTGCTTTCCAGATCCTGTTTGGGGACGTCCCATCCCGGTTTTGGAGCAGCAGGAGAGTCCCCTGCCGTCCCAACGACTGTGTGCGGCGAAAGCCCGCGGCTCGTTTCCAGCTCCGTCATCGGGAAGCCGCGTGTTTTCTGCGGGGTTAAAGAGCCCTCTGCTGTCAGAAACCTGGCTCCCATCAAGCAAAAGCCATGCAGGCTCGGTGAGCCTGAGTTCATTTGATCTCCAGGTAATTCTTCCTAGGGTCCATCCAGAGTTGCCAGGAAAGCCCTCCATCTTGAAAGAGCACAGCGTACATTTATTTGCCTAGGCTCACGTCCTTCTGTTTTCAGTGCAGCCAGAAATACTGTTTATGAGTAAAGACCACACCAGTGGTTACAGACTGCTCTGTGCATCTCATCATTTACCATAATTTATCATCTCCGTTTTAGCTTGTGTCCCCTAAAAACTTCATCAGCACTGGCTTAATATCTTCTCTCAAATCATTAATCAAGTTACTAATGAGCATTAATTTCAGGACAGCCTCCTACCAGAAATACTTTAGTATTCTGGGGACTCTCATTCCTCTCATTTCTTGAAATTTATCAGCAGACCACGTTTTATAATGTACGCCCCTTTGTTGTTTTAATGATGTCACTTTTATTTATTTTTAATCAGAGAATAGGCCTGGGTGGCAAAGTTAGACCTGCCATGCTGCTGTAACTTCAGATTCCTGCAGCACCTTTGTTAACCCAACCCACGACTGCATCAGAAAACATGAAAGTAGTCTGGGATAACTTAGAGAAAGCAAGCATGAGAACTGATATATCTGTCTTTATTTTTAACCTGATGGACCTTTCAGGCTCTTGATTTGATATCAATCTAACTGGTTTAAGGCTATGCACATATCTTCCTGCAGGGCTGCATTCTTCTTTCCTAAACTTCATGCCATTGATGATTGCCTTTCAGCAGCACCCAGGGTAAACTACTCCATAACTGTTCCAGGTACTGAGGCTAGACTAACATGTTTCCCAGGTCTTCTCTTCTGCTCTTTTTGTAGATTGATGTAACACTGATTAGCTTCCAGTCAGCAGGGACCTCTTCCCACTCCCGCAGCTCCCAGTAAATTGTTGGGAGGGGTCCAGCTATAACGTCCACTAACTTCTTCATTCTGGGGGGGAATCTCAACAAGCCCAGCAACAAGAAGACATTCCGGGGCTTTGGTATGCCCGGATACAAAAGGTGGACTACTTTTAAATAGGAAGTCATTTTCACTTTAAGCCAGTTAATAGGGAAGTGATCAAGTTCAGCGTGATTTAAAAGCAGAAGTTGTAGGGGTTTAACCAGCAGTGGGCTTTCTGACTGCACATGTTCTTGCTTTCAGGCATTTCAGTTGGCAGCACACCTTCTGTGCACAGACTTCACCTGCTTACTTTAAACAACTTCAAGCTCCTCATAGTTTTTCTGAAGATGGGGACAGGAATAAATAAATGGTTGTGCACACGCTTCTCCTCAGTGCACGCTATTTGTTTGAATTAACAACCTATATCAGTCATCAGTAAGCAACTTTTCATCAAACCAGGGTCTGATGAAAACCACAACTAGCGTTCGCTGAACAAAAGGCAGCAAAAACAGTGAATCTATTCCCACTGCTCTGCCCTTTCCCTCTTCCTTCACTTTTTTTTTTTTTTTTTCACAGTCCCTCAAGGCGCTTATTGAAACACCGCTGTGCCCAGATCATTGGCAGCCTGCAGCAATTGAGAAAACTTTAGCAGAACCCAGGGTAGCTGAAGAACCAGCTCCCAGGTCCAGAGGAGTAAAAGGAATTTACCCTCTTCACTTCTTCAGGAAGCAACCTGCTGCTGCCTAAAGTCAGATGTTAGCATATTGAGGGATTATTCCCTTCTGCTCTGTCTGCACAAGACTCTCACCTACAGTACAACTTTCAGCTCTCGGGCCCAAAGCACAAACAAAACGTGGAGCTGTTAGAGCAGAGATCCAGAGAAAAGCCACAAAAATGCCCAGAGGCCTGGAGCACCTTTTCTGTGGAGATCAGTGGAGAGAATCGGGATTTTTCAGACTGGAGAAGGTTCTTAAGGGAGTTCTTAAGAAACTTACGAGGAAGAGGGGAGGAGACTATTACATAGTGACATGACAAGTGGTAGTGGTCTTAAAAGAGAATAGAATTAAATTAGATATTAAATGTTTCACAATAAGGGTGGTGATGCACCAGAACACACTGTCCAGAGAGCCTGTGGATGTCCCATCCCTGGAGCTGTTCAAGGCCATGTTCAAGGTTTGGGTAGCCTGGTCAAGTGAGAAGCGTCTCTGCCCACAGCGGAGAGGTTGGAAGTGGATGGTCTTTAAAGGTTCCTTCCGAATCAAACCATTGGGTTGGAAGGAGCCTGCAGAGTGGCAGAGGGGAGCTCCTCCTGTCCTGGTTTTGACTGAGGCAATTTTCTTTACAGTGGCTGGTACAATGCTGTGATTTGGATTTAGGAGAAAAACAATGCTGATAACACACCAATGGCTTATTTGTTGCTGAGCAGTGCTGAACAAAGCCAAGGGCATTTCAGCTTCCCACACTACCCTGCCAGCAAGGGGCTGGGGGTGCACAAGGAGCTGAGAGCAGAGAGAAAGGACAGTTGACCTAAACTGGCTAAAGGGATCCTCCACACCGCGTGGCTTCATGTTGAGCATTAAAACTGGGAGGAAGTTGGCCAGGGACTGACTGGCTGGGCATCAGTCAGTGAGTGGTGAGCAATGCATTGCTGAACTCTTGTTTTATTAATATATTTATATATATTTATATATATATATAAATGTTTTATATATATATATAAATGTATATATAATTTCACTTCATTTTCTGCCTTAGTAAATTGTTTTTATCTCAACCCATACATTTTACTATTTTTTCCTGTTTTTTTCCCCCCATCTCATTGGGAGTAGCAAGCAGCTGAGTGGTGTGGAGCTGCTGCCAGGTTAAACCACAGCACCTCCCCCTATACTTCCTGTAAGTATTTTTTGATTCAGAATCTCTACAACTTCTCAGGGTCCTGTCCTCTGCTTCCTACCTTTAACACAAGGTCCTCTAACTGAACCTTTTCCTCATTTCCCTAGAATACCAGAGAAGGCAGAGGCTTGGAAATGACTTTACAGCCATTAACAAGGTTCAAGAAGCCAGGTAACTTCCTTCTGCCACTCTTTACCACCAAGTGCAAAAGCACATGATTGAAGATCCGTTAGCAGGACGGCACCTAGCAAGGTACAGAGGCTGAATCCAGGCATGGAGGCACAACTACTCAAGTGTTGTTTCAGCTTGTGAAGAGTCACTGTTGCAAATGGTCATAGCACTCCAGTTGTCACATTTCTCTTCAATCTGTTCTGTGTCAAGATCAGGGGAATTCTCCCGTGTTTAAGGACCAAGTCATTCCCTCCATCACTGTGTCCGTCTCCCTGTTCTCTACTTCAGACATCAGCTTAAAGAACAGCCAGAACTATGTGGCACAGTCTCAATGCTAAAAGCAACTTACTGAGCCCAGTTGGTTCTTTCCTGGATCATAATATGAGGTATCATATCTTGCATTAGCTTGAGACTACTGCTGAGATGAGGGCTCTATTGTTTCAGCTCCTTCTCTCAAGGTCTGGCAACCACAAGAGGACTAATCTTCCACTAAGCCTCCTTCAGTGCGTAGCTATTTCTTTGACCTTACCCACTTCAGGGCCTGCCTAGACTATGCAATCTCCAGCAACTCCAGCCACTTCCAGCGAGCAGCCAGCTTACGCCCTTCCAACACTTACTTCACTGTCTCAACCAACTTTCCTCTCATCACTTCCATGGATGCTGGAGGCTTGTCTGACTGCACCCCAGCTGTGGAGGCCTTGTAAATGGCCACCGTGAGAACAAAACTCCTGCTGGGTTTGCTATGGGACAGAGAAGGCCATGGAAGTGGGGAAAGAGCCTGCCATAAGCTGAGGCTCTGCCCCGTGCATCCTTGGAGGGTAGAATTTATGTATACTCTACACAAAGCTTTAAAGCACCAGATTCCACATTTGATTTTCAGGACAAAACAACCAGTACTCATTGAGATCCCTGTTCCTGTTAGCTCCCAGATGGACAACGTGGAAATACATGGTAGAATCCTGGCACACTACTTTCAAGTGTAAATCACTGATTTCCTTTGTTCCGTTCCAAGTGAATTTATGAAATGGTTTATATATCAGTGTATGCCAGAGCAGGAAACTGGCCCAAAAACACAGGAGACCTTTCTTAGTCGTGTATTCCTAATGCCTTTCCAGCTTCATCTAATACCAGAGTTAAGAAGAGATCATTAATAACGATGTCATACGCTGTCAGCCCCAGTTGCAAAGAAATAAAATAACGGGAATATTCCCAGTCATGCAGGAGCCCCTTGTTCAAGGCTGCACAAACAGCCAGGCAGCAATAAAGACCAACCAATCCCCATCAAACATGCAGTGAAACCACAGTCATGAGAAAGCATATTTTTGCAAACAGTGGAAACCTTTTACAGTTTCCACGTTGTCACTGAGCATTATCTCATTCCCTAACTACATGAGAAGCCTTTACAGAAAAGTTACAATTAGACACCAAGTTTCTCTTCAGTAATTTCCCAGTGATACAAAAGAAGTTACTTAATTCCACAGCAGGCACGATTAGATTAGCAGAAGGTAAAACTGATGGAACAATTCTTTACAGTTTGTTTCTTTATTCAGTAAACATCTAGTTACAAGTTTCACAAATTAAAAAAGTGGAGGAGCCAACTGAAGAGATGTAGAGGAGGGGAGGGCACAAGCTATCCAGCTTTTGTTCTGCTCATCACCTCTCCAACACGCATCCTTCAGCTACTCTGTAGCTGTACCAAGAATTCAAGAGGGGAATAGAAGCCTTTGTCCCTGTGAGGGGACTAACACAGGGGGGCCTAGCAGGATTCCCTTGTCTTTCTTTCACAGGGGACTAAACACAAACTTCATAACCAGCCCAACCCACCACAGAAAGAGTGGAAAGGACAGAAGCAGCAAGGTGGCAGCTCCTCGTGCCCACCACTACTGGCAGAAAGAACAGAACCAAAGGAGGACAGAAAGGGAATGGTCGATTAATGTGTTCCTTGCACACTGGTGAGATGCTCCATGAACCACTGCAGCACCCAAATGGGGCAGGAAAAAAAAAAAAAAAGGCAATGCAGAAGATTAGTTGCTTTATTTCAATTCTTAAGTGGCAGGGAGGTTAATACTAAATTTGAGAAGGGTCCAAGTGGTGCTTTGAAGGGGCTTTAGAATTTCACTGTCTGTACCTGGAAGGAAGGGAAACAAAGAGAGAACATAAAAAGAGCAAAATGTGATTAGAAAGCAGCAAAGACAGATAAGATTTAACATTTATAATAATAAAAAGAAACCCCAAGTTTCAAGTTCAGGACCATATCCAAGTGAACCCTCAAAGCACAGGCCAGAAAGCAGCACTTGTTTTAATTTCAAACTGGACTGGCAGTAAAAAGTCTCTAAGTTCTACATAATGATAATGTAAACACTCTATAGATTGTGATCCTGCATCACCTCATACCATTTCAACCATCACCTAAGGCTGACATCACATATTTTTCTTGGTGACAAGGCTAACCTTGTTGAACCTTTCCATTCAGTATTTTCTCAAGACTTTCATCTTCCTCTGCTCTTTACATTAAGCGAGAAAACATTCTTCCAACCAAAATAATGCAAGACTGGGGTAATGAAAAGAAAATCCATATGGTTAAGAGGCAACCAGGCAATGGAGAATGAAAAAAGAGCCGTGTTAGGACTTACAAGAACGTGTAGGTAGACTTGGGGGTGACCATGTTGCACCCCCAACAAGGTCTGCTCTGCATTCACCAGTCATATCGGCGGGACTGTCTGGAGGGAGAATCCTCCGGGCCCTGGATCGCAAGACGAGTCCCTTCAGCCCGGCGGCTGCCGCTGCCGTCGTGACGCCGGTATTCCAGTCCTCGCTGCGGCCGGAAGCGGGATGTCTCTCGCCTCCACTCATCATCAAAAGCGGCTGCATCACCTGTGTCAGGAAGAACAAGCTCAGCCAGGGAAAAGGTGGGAAGCGGCAGCTGGGTTTGCTGAGATGGAAGGCGGGACAGTACTCACTTTCATCCATATTGATGTAGTCCTGCCTCTCTTCCTGGTCACCTGTACGATGGTTCCGGGATCGCTGCATGATGTGCGCTCTGTCCCTGATGTGGTGCCCAATAGACATTTGTTCCAAGCCACTGTCTGAGTCCCTTACGGTCCGCCTAGTCTCACGAATCTGAGGGTAGATTTGACAATCAACATTTTAATTCATTCCCCCAGCCCGATAAGACACTCTGGTTCTTGCCTACAGCACTTCAGTCATGCTGCGCTTGCCACCAGTCCCAGTCGAACGGAACATAATAATAAGGAAAAAAGACTTCCTCTCCAGCTGGCACTTCCCATCTCCTCTCAGGGGCGCTCAGCATGGTTCAGTGACTCACGACACATTCCTCAATCCACAACTGACTGCAAAGCAGAAATGCTGTGGGTGGCCAACACTGAGCCGCCAATGAAATTCTATCCTTCCCCAACAAAACCAGCAGCCTCCTGCTGGGATGACACACTGTGGCCTCCTCCTTACCCCGCCAGGTGCCGAACGCATCTCTGAGGTCTCCTGATATACTTTGGGCCCATCACCCAGGTTGGAATAGGAGATGACAGTTGAAGAGGTAAATGTCTGGCAGTTTGCACCACTTGTCATATGTTCCTGCAAAAGAAGACGGGCAATGGCATAACGAAGAAAAGAGTGGGAAGAAAAGATAACAGCCATTTCTCTCTCCATACAACAAAGCAGGAGAGAATTACAAAAGTATCTGTGCTGCATTCACCCTGAAGGGAGGGTGCAATGAAGATGGAACCAGGCTCTGCTCAGTGGTGCCTTGTGCCAGGACCAGAGGCAAAGAGCACAGACTAGAATACAGGATGTTCTCTCTAAACAACAGGAAGCACTCATTTATTGTGCACCAGCACAGCACAGTTTATGGAGCACCAGCACAGGCTGCCCAAAGGAGTTGTGGAGTCTCCTCCTTGGAGACCTTCAAAAACCATGTGGATGTGGGACTGGGCACCCTGCTTTAGGTGTCCCTGCTTGAGCAGGGTTTGTACCCAATGACATTCAGAGATCCCTTCCAATCTCAACCACTCTGTGATTCTGCAAGTACAAGCCCCATTGGTCCATCTTTCTGGAGAACAACTCCTGTTTCTTGCAGAGGTCTACCCTCATGCTTCCATTCCATTCCATCTCTCCTCCCTGAATTCAGCAGGCATGCCCCAGGAACAACACCTCTGTCACTCCATCCTGCTCAGCAGGATGTTACAGCTTCTCCACTCTAACAGCTTGATCACAGCCAGCACTAAAGAGGCACACAATAGGACAGCAGACAACAGAGAGGATGGCAGAAGCACCACCAGTACTTCCCTCTTTCGTGCAGATTACTTTATTGAAGGTTCTTACCATGTTCCCAATCATGTCGTTCATCATGCCAAACATGTCTATAAAGCCACCTGCCTACAAAAACAGACAGCACAGGAATAGTCAATTTGGATGGGTATGGGAGAAAAGAATTACAACAACTCGTCTGCAAAAGCCATGAAACTGCTGCTGAGAGGGAAAAAAACCACCTTTTTTTTTTTTTTTTTTTTCCTTTCTATCTATTGATAGAAAAAAAAAACCAACAAATTTACAGTTGCTGTTCTTTGCAATTTCTTCAGACTGCATTGCCTAAATGATCCTGCTCTCCAGATCTCTGGCTCTGACGTTCTTTTAGTTTAGCTCTGATACCCAATGCACTAAGGTTTGTAAATTCAGGCATTCAGCAATGTTAAGACATGAAACCCCAGGATACACACTAATAGTAGACTTAACCGTAAGACAGTCTCCATCATCACTGTCAACTCTTGATTTAAACCACAAAGGAGTTTTCACGGATTGTTTTCTAACATAGGAACTTTTCTTCTTTTCCCTATAGAGAAAGGAGACGTGACTGTCTTTAATCTGGCAAACCTAAGAGCTGCAGGTAGTATACTCAGCCAGCAGGTCTCACAGATTAATTGTGCAATATGTAAACAAAATTAGTGCCAGTTTAAATGCGCTGATTCCTTTTTCCCTTCTTCAAGTGGCTTCTTGTTCTCATTTACAGCAGACCAGCACTCACACGCAATCTTATTATCCTTTGAAGTCCAACTGTTTGTATTATTAATCCTTTTCTGAGCTAGAACAATTCCAGGATGCTAGGCCTCTTTCATTAAGTCAGTACTGAAGAGTGAGGCAGCTAAAGCTGCTAGATCTGGAATAACTTATTTCCAATGTTTTACTACAGCAGATGACTGAGATCAACAAGCTCCAGGAACGACATTCTCACATACATCCAGCTACTCTCATTCCAACTCTGTTCTCTTGAATTACTCTCTTGGCTTCTCATTCTGCAACCATTTTCAAAGGAAGTTCAATTACTGCCTCTGCCTAATGACTGCCGAGTCTTTTCCTTGTGTCATCACAGTTTCACAATGATCTCCAAACAGATCCACAGCCTCTTCTTAGACACAAGGTTAAGAGACTCTCCATTCTTCCTGGACATTAACTATCCCAACTCCTATGAAATACCATCCTGTAACAGCTTTATGGATCTTCTCTGTTTGAGGTGTCCATACAAAAGGACTCCTCTAAAACAGCTCCACAGACAAAAGTACGAGGAAAAGAAGTGGAAAGTCTAAAATCATACATCAACTCAGGAACAGCGGTCCACAGGAAACCAGTTATCTTCAGTTTCAATTCAGTTCACCATTTATTATAAATCTAATAATAAATAGAGCTCATACTTGTCTCTTCAAACCATCCCACTCTCACTACCTGTTAAGATATACGGACTTACATTTCTGCTACTGGTTGCCCACAGCTCTAACAAATCTCAAGGTGAAGCTACTATTAGTGAAGCACAAACTTGGCACTGAAAAACAGAGGACTTACCATGCCCAGCATCCCAAAGGGTGAAACAGCTCCTGCCTGTCAACACAGCAGAAAAACAGAATAAACAATGACCTTGTGGCAGCCAAACAACTAGATATTCCTCAGAGCACCCTCATCCTTCTTGGAAACAGGACTTGGAACACTCAGAGCCAATAAACGCATGAAAAAAGCAACCCACTGACTCATGAGGGTTCAAACAGTATCACCACTAACAAACCATACAGAAGGGATATTCCCCCAATTTCCTTCAGTTATAGTGTTTTATGGCTTTGAGACAGCATATACACTTTCCCTTCCTTCCATTCAACCTAGAACACAGCTGCCAAGAAACACATACATGTAGAGTGAACAAACAGCAAGAACATCACTGTTTCTGAAACCAGTTCTACCTCCACCATCTCTAAGAAGGTAAGGGAAACACTCAATCCAATAACAGTGGGGGAAAGAAGCTTAACAAGACAGTTTAAAAAAAATCTTAGCCTGTGGTCAGCCCTCTCATACCTGCATCCTGCGGCCAGCCTGACGAGCCCCTGGCGTGGTCCCATCAGTGATACCAAGCAGTGGGCCAAATCCAAAACTTCCAGAAAGCATGCGGTTCATGTGCTGCCGGTGGATAGCAAAAGGGTCCCTTTTGGAAAGATTGAGAGAACAGTGGTGAGAAAAGGATGATAGAACACAAAGTCCTGCATAATACACCCATTCTGACTCGGAGTTTCTCTTCTGCAACTGTACTTTCTAAGATGAAAATCCAGAACCCCAAGAACTCAGTATCGCATATGCTAATCCTTGGGGCTGGATCCCATTTCTTCTCTTGTGACTGAAAGTATTATGCCACAGAAGCTCTCTTAAGCACTAACTGATGTCTATTCAGCAGCAGCTCCATGTCCTGTTCCCACTAATATACTTTTGGGCCAATCATGGCTAAGGATATTCCAAAACCTCATTGATCTAAGAGGTAAAAGACCTGCAGTCCAAGTACTACCATCATGTCATACTCATTTCCTCTTCAACCATCAAAACATTAACAGCCACAACACACAAACCGTTCTAGAAGAATAGTTCTGCATTTCGCAGGGAAGCACGCAAAGACCACTGCTCTGGCTGCAAAGAAAGGGCTGCATTTAACAGGAGAGTGTACACAGTCCTAATTGTTGTTCTCTCACCTCCTTAGGTGCACGTGCACAAACACAGTAACCAAAATCTCCAGAATACACCACATGGTCTGACACTGACTGTTTGATACTCCTCTGCCCCTAATCATCTCAATTTGCTGTTTTCCTGGGTCGTTATGCACACAACCACAAAAGGCTGACATCAAAAAGCTTTTACAGGTCCAAGTCTCAGTGTAAGAATGAAAGAGAGCAATAATTAGGGTCCCTACATGTTTCTCCTTTCCTTCTTGTGCAGCCTCCATTTTGAGGGCATACTTGTACACTAGAAAAGCAAGGAGGGAAAAAGTAGAACGGGGACAGTCAGAGAAAACAGCCGCCACACTAAGGAGTCTGAGAAATATTACAGCATTTCTCTGCATATCTGGTAGTTCTGCATTCATCCTTCCAAAGCACAAACAACCTGAACAGCACATAATTTCCTGAGATCACAAAAGCATCTAGCACAAACCAATACTTTCCTGTTTCTACTGGGAATGCTTTGCATAATAAAAGCAAGACTCATAGCTGCCACATCAGTGAGAACATACACTCATCCTGTGACTGAGACATCAAGGTCTCCTCTCCTGCTAATTTGTTTACAGTTGATAACATTCTTATAATCAATTTTATAAGCAAGAGCACGGCTTTGTTTTCCTACATAAATTAATTCGAACAAATTTATAGTAGTGCCAGGCTCAACACAAACCTCCCACTGTATAACACTAATCCTTAACTACTTTGGCAAGAACTGCCACCTCTGATCAGCTGCAACCAATCTCTGGGCAGGGGACAGAAAAAAAGTAATCAGTAAGAAGAAACCCAAAGAAGCATTACTGGGAGCCGCATCAGATTTCCAGACTTGTATTTTAAAACTACTAGAATTCTCCTCATTTAGTCCCTTGCAACTTGACAGCTCCTTTAGAATCATAGAATGGCCTGGGTTGAAAAGGCCCACAATGATCATGTAATTTCAACCCCCCTGCTATGTTCAGGGCCGCCAACAACTAGACCAGGCTGCCTAGAGCCACATCCAGCCTGGCCTTGAATGCCTCCAGGGATGGGGCATCCACAACCTCCTTTCTCCAGCTTCATTAATGAATTCTTCAGCAGAGCCGCCACAAACAACAGGCACAGAAGATATCATCAAAACCCTACTCCGTACACGGAAATCCTTAAGCACAGATAAAGGTCGGGTACTCCAGCACTATCAGACAGCCAGGTGCGCTCGGCCTACTTTATTTAATTACACTGTCCTCAGCCACGGCGGTGGCTCCCCGCACGCCGCCCGCCCCGCTCCAGGAACGCTCGCGCTCCCGCGGAAGCCCCGCGCCGCCGCACGCGGCCCCGCACTCACAGCCCCGCTCGGCAGGCGCCGCCACAGCGCCCCGGCCCGCCCTCCCCCTCGAGCCTCCCCAGCCGACTCACATAGCGAACATGGGGTCCTCCGGCTCCCCGTCCCTCATCAGCCGGAACATGCTACTGCCCTCCACGGGGGCGGGCTCTGCGGAGGGAGAAAGAAGCGCTGAGCGAGCCGCGAGCGTATCGCACCGCATCGCACCCCGCCCGGCCGCAAAGGCGGCCGCCCCCAGACCCGGACCTCACCGCCCCGTCACCGCCACCCCCGGGCTCGCCCCCACCTGCCGTGCCCCTTCCCCTGCCCGCAGGCGCGCCGGGCGGTGCCGAGGGGGAAGAGGAAGCAGGAGGAAGAGGAGAACGAAGAAGACGCGGGCCGCTCACGCCCGGACTCCCATGGCGGCCCGCACCCTGCTCGTCCCTTCCGCTCCAACCGGTTCGCTTCGCGCATGCGCGCACAGGCCCGCGGCTCCGTGCGCTAGCGGAGGAGGCGGGGAGCTGGGCCGGGCAGGAAGCGGCGCCCAGGCCCCGCTGCTCGGGGCAGAGCGGCAGGGGGCCGGCAGAGCGCCTCCTAGCGGTAGGAACATCTCGCCCCTTCCTCTGGTGCTTCTTGCTCTGGTGCTTCAGGCACCCTGCCGTCGGTCGGAGCCCACCTGTGGGCACGGAAACTCACCCGGAGCTTCTGCAAACACTGCCTCGGCCTCCCTGCCTCCGGTTTTGTGATCTTGAATCACCCCTCAGTGTATTCCGGGCTGGAAAGCATTTCCTGTTCGGCGTGTTCTCCTACCACACGGGGCGGGCCCCATGCTGGATTGGGTGTGTGCGGCTAGCCGGCAAGGATCCGGGGGCAGGGAGAGAGAGAGAGCTGCTTGGACAAGAATTAAAGCATTTTTATTTATGGGACTGGGAGCAAGTCTGGGACAAAATGACCTGCTTTCCACAGATTCCAGCAATCATCCCACCCCCAGAGATGGCAGGGCTCCTTCATTTGTTCCCAAACACAGCGTCAGTCCTTGCTGCCTCCCAGAGGGGAGGCAGGGGAAGCAGAGGTGCGGGAGCACGTGCTGTAACCTATGTCACCTATGTTACCAGCAGTGTTACCACTTCGGTAACTGTCTCGCTGGTGGCTTAAGCTATGTGACACCTTGGAAAGTGGAAATGCAGCCTTTTTCTGGAACGTACAAAAGTTCCCCATTGTCAGAAATGCAGAATCTCACTTTTGCGCACCATTTGTACGTGAGGTTTCTGTACTCCACTTTACATCCAGTGTGCACCAAGTGGATGGCCATTTGCTGATACACAATACCTAAGCATGGCGGTGTGGATGCACAGCAAGGCTCACGTTTTTGTTCTGCCACATTCTCTGTTTCAGCTGTTTCAGTTTTCTGTCATGAATCAAAACCATTACTCACATTGCCTCATTTCCTTTCCTTTTTTAAGCTGTCCAGACAGGAGAATGGGGAAAAAGGAGGTGGTGAGTAAAGGGCGAAATGGAATCAAGGACTGATGCCACTGCCCTGAACTCCATCTTCTGCTGCCTGCTGCTGACTTGCTGCCAAGCAGAATTCCTCCCCCCTAACATCCCCATCACTGTTAGCTGTGCAGTCAGCCAAAGGGGCGACCACAGTGTACGCATTTTAAAAGCAAACTGAATATCACGTGGTGTGGGTAAATAAATGGTGTGCTGAATATCGGACCTTTTACCTGCTTCTTTCCAGGGACCAATCATTGTGGCCAAGAGGACAGAAACAGCTTCTTCCAAGAAGGCAGAAACACATCCAAATATTCCAGGGAATGTCCATGTGACAAAGAAATTCTCATTATCAGAAGTCAGAACTACCCACAGCCACTTCTGCTTCGGTTTCTTCCATCCGTGCCTCTTACGTAATCCTCAGCCAGCAACTAATTCTGACCTCACATGAAGGGCACCCTAAGAGGACAGCTCTCATCTGATCCTCAGGAGTGACAATATCTGGAATGCTAGAGCCAGCTTGCAGTGACTGGGGTATGCGTTGCTTAGCAGTGATTACTTTCAGAATATTTTGCTCAAGAATGAGTCTGTCACACTATGAGTGAGAAGCACAACCTCCATCTGTGCTATATTAGTGAAGACAAGTTCACAAAAATCGTGATTCAAAGCCTTCCTCCCCTTTCTGATCCTCTCACAGGCTGGCTCTCATCCCTAATCACTCTTACTCCCCTTGCTTCCTCTCATTATGCTATCTGCACTGCTCCCCAGCCCACAACAGCGCTCATTTGCATTGCTTCTTGCAAAGACATATTTCCAAATGCAAAGTTTGGCCAGTGGTTGAATTTTTAGAAATTTCCTCTTGACTTCTGATTATGAAACCATGGAGGACAAACAAAATCAATAATCTGTATGACTTTTAATGGACACAGGATAGAAAAATGAACAATGTGGATTAAATGCATAAACATGCTCCCCCACCCTTCCCCCCCACCCCCCCCCCCAGATTTGGCTGGTTTCACCTTAAAAGAAAGGATAGATACTCTATGCCTGCATTTCTGAACATCTAAGAAAAGCTGAGGCAAACACAAGGCCTTCTGCTCTTCTGCTGTTCAGCAAGTAGCTTGGAAGAGTTTTGGAACCACTTTAGAGTTAGTTGTCAGAATAACATTCTTAGAATACTCTCATACCCAAATATGATGTTTTGGTTTTGCTCAGAGTTACTTTTGCCTTCACCATAAACTAGTAACTCCTCCCCCTGGCTACAATGGTACTATGACAAGACTAGGAAGGTATTAAAACAAAATTAATAAATGCATGTGCTAGAAACATAAAAATACATACCATGCAAATACACAGCCACATGCTCACTATGAAGATGCGTACTGGCAAACTTAACATTTAACATCAGTAGAAATATACCATACTTTCACAAAAGAAAATGCACAAAAAGATAGAAAACACCATCACTGTACACAAAAGTGTAAGTACTGCAGATGTACACACCCACGAAAACATAAATACAAACAGCATGCTACACAAAAATGGTAACTTACAGAGAAAATTACATACCCAGGCTGCAGACATGCATATTGCTGATGTTCCCAGTGACATATCACGCAACTTCTGTACCTCCATCATCCTGTCTAAAGGCTGAAGACTCCAAAAAAGATGGAATATATTCTGCTGAGTTTGCAAAGCAACTTCAAGCAAAGACTGCTGAACATACTGAAAAGTGACTTACATCTTCACATTGCATGATGAGTATAGTTGCATATACTACAAAAGGGATGACTTCAGATGGGGGAGAGAAGAGCAGAGAAAAGCTGTAAATTGACCCAGCAGACAAAATGCAGAGAGGTACCAATGTGATGGAGGAACAGAAGGCCTGAGAAACACAGGTGTCAGTGAAAGGATGCCCACAGGGCACACTAGAAGCCAATGAAATCCCACTATCAGGATCAGAGGAGCAGATGGGATACAGAAGCAGGCATGTCCCAGGGCATGAAGAGGAGTTTTATATAGGATACGAGGGAAAAAAAAACTACAGGCATGCAGGGAAAAATGGGACGTGAAGAACGAAGGGGACATGAGCTGAATTTTGTACATACAAGAAAGGAAAACAGAGACAACATGGGAGCAATGGCCATGGGAACAGCACTGACAAAGAATACAGATACGTAGCAGAAGTTCTGAATCAACAGATCTGAGTAAAAACTGCAAAGAGAATATGGTGGGGAGGAAGAATAGGAAGAAGCAAGACTGCACACTGACTACTGGAGAATACGCAGGGGGAAGGAAGAGGTCACAGACCTAACCAAATGGTTCTTGCACAGGTGGCTGGAAACATACTTCCCTCACATAAAGTGCTGTCTGTGTATTTGCATCTGAGGGCACGTTGCCTGCGTCAGTGTAACTGTTTGGGCACAGTATCATCACCAAATACAATCTTCATTTTTTCTTCTCTGGGATGTTGTGTTGAGGTCTGCTTGTGCCTTAGCATGGATGTGTCTCTGGTACAGGATGCGTGATGGTGCAGGAGTTGAGGATGTAAAGATAAGGACAAAAATCCTGGATTGGTGCAAAGAACAGCAGAGCTGTGAGTCATGCATCTCTGACAAGGAGAAGCAGAATATGACAACATCCAGCCATCAACTTCATTTTTTTTTTCCTCCTATTTTTGAATGCAGCTCCAGAAATGAAGATTTACCGTTTCTCGCAGAAAAGAGGGATGAAAGTGGAACCAAATGCCAGGACTCAAATTCTGACAGCATGTAGACCTGAAAAGATGGCTAGAGGGGCTTATGAAGCAGGAGGAAAAACACTGAATGCGTGCATTTTCATGATGTGCTCTCCTGCATTAGACTGGATCTGCATGTCTGTGTTAAGCACAGTTTCCCTGGGGCAGGCAGCACTTATGTATGCAGCCAAGACGAACACAGCTTAGTCACGTTATCTGAGGGGAACTGCTCTAGCTGTGAAGGAGACAACAGATGACAAGGTAGGGATCCCCCACCTCTGTCTCACCCGCGTGGTCTTTCACCCTTCCTACTTCAGGAGATGTATACTTACCACCCTCCCTTTCTATCAAATACTCAAACTGAGTACGAAAGGCGCCTCTCTCCTGGCACGGCATCGCCCAAGCGTGCCAACAGGTGGCGCCGCTGCACGCCTCCCGCCGCCCTCAACAACTGAGCAACGCAGACGGCGGCACTGTCGTCAGCCCCGCGGCAGCGCCCGGCCGGCGGGCTCAGAGCGGCGGGCAGCGGGAGGGCCGGGCTGCCTGGGGAGCAGCCGCAGAGCCCCGCAGAGCCCCGCAGAGGACACGCGGATTCGTATGCCGCTGCGGTCGCTGCCGTACGGCCGCGGATGAGCCTCCCGCAGCGCGGAGCTCGGGTTTAGGCGCCGACGACTCGCAGGGGGCCCGTAGCGCCCCCGAACGTCACCCGTCGTCCCTCCCTGCCGGAGATGAGAAGGCAGTCGTAAGGAATGGCGGGAAGGGCTGAGAGACGAGCACGGCGCCGGCGGCGGCAGCGGCACCGTCCGCCCCGCGCTCCGTCCTCGCGCCGCGCCCGCATCCCCACGTGCCCTCCCCTGGTCCTTGCAGCAACGCTCCCCGCGCCCCCTCCCCCACGCGGAGCCTGCCCCCAACGACCAATAGGAAGCCTGTTGCCAGGCAAACTGCTCATTTGAATGGCCCAATCGGACGCCCACCCTCAGTTCCTCCTTATATGGGGAAGCGGGACGCGCTAGCTACCCCTCCCCCACCCGCTTCAACACGGCGAGCCGCCCCGCCCCCTGCCTCCGCCGCAGAGCGCGGGAAAAACATCCTCCTGCCTGCCCCGCCCCCACCGCGGGTCCCCGGCCCGGCAGGACGCGGCCGCGGGGAGGAGCCCCGCTTG